CCCCCCCCGGACACTCCAGCCGCCCTGTGACAGCTCTCCTAGAGCAGGTGTGCAAACTTCTATACCACAAACCTTCCAAATCAGCGAAGTCAGGGAAGACGGGATGAGCACCCATTCCCAGGTTCGTGCGGCAGAGAGATTATCTTCATAGTAATTTAAAGGTTTGGTTTGGGTTATTTAAGAGACAGCAAACACTCCCCACTTTCCCAGGCACTTCTTACTTTTCCAAACATACGATAGCTGACATTGAAACTCTCCTAGTATTTTCCAGACTTCAGAAAATAGTCCACACCCTCTGCCACTTTTACTTCTCTAGTTGTATCCTATCTCTTCCCACCACTTTTGAAGCCATTACTTGGCAACGGGGAAGCTTACAGAAAGAGTAATATAAATTTCATTTTGCTACTATGGCTCTTCCCCCGTTCTGAAAATTCTCACCTTATTTTCGTAACTAGACAGAGTGGTCCAATGACAGGCAAAGGCACATGGATGCAACATCCTACTAGCATGCAAAATTCAGCAGTGAGTAGTTATTTCAGTTTATTTTGCTCAGATAAAAACAGAACTATAAAATGTTTGGTACATTTTATTTAGCGACATACAAGAAGGAATATAAACTGCCACATGTTAAACTTGCCACAAAAGAGCTGGAGAATCACCCCACTCCCTCCCCCTATGATTATGTATACAAAGTGGTACTTTGCTGAGGAAAATTTGTACCAGAGAGGTTGCGGTACACCAGTTTATACTGCTGCTTCTCAATAATCTGTGTGGTGTAAGAAAGTCACAAAGTGCTCCAAGTTTTACTTTGTAGTAACTCTAACTTCCTAAACATGTTCTTGTGATTTCCCCAACGTGTGTTCCACTTAAATGCACAGCACCCAAAATAGATGGATATCACATATCTATATATTCAGGATTCAAGTCCATTCAAGACAACTGTATCAGCAGGTCACAAGTTGGTATGTATGATGGACAAGATAAAAAACACAGTATAAGCTAAACATGCAGAGCACCCTTTCCAATGCTGTGGGTTTCCACCCCACACTATACTTTAGCCCAATGGAGCTTAATGTTAGCATTACTGACCAAACCCAAATCACAGTTTTAACTAATGAATGCAGATATAGTTTCCTTCATGCTAGTACTACATCAGCTCTCCTCTGAGTCACTACTAGCTTTAAAATGTGTTTTTATAAGCCTTTAAGGCATATATGCTTAGAGTAAAAGAAGTGCCACGATTTACTTCCACCAGCAAAATCTCTTCACCCCTGTTTGTTGTTCTCTGCCTTTTCATTCCCCATATCCCTCTATCACTGAAGTGGACCTAAATAATCTTCTCTTACCAAATGAATTTTGATCACTTCCATGCTGCATTCATTTGCAGCCCCTTCTTCATCCTGGCACTAAAATCTTTAGGACACAAGTAGAGGAAGATGAAAAAAAGCCAACAAAATTTAGGACTCTAATGGGAATATAGAGGACCTCACCTCTATTTCAAAGTGGCCATAAATTCACTCACCCAGACCATGTTCAGCTAGTAATAATTAAACAGTCAGAGACTGTTTAATTTCAGTTCTCTTCACTCATTTTATCCTATAGATCATACGATTATTTTTTTTCAGTAATCCTTTCCAAAGGATTCCAAAGATAAGGCTGAAGGTGTAGTCAGGAAAAAAAAAATATTCTAATCAATAACTTTTTACAAAATAATCCTCACAACCCCCCAGGGAGGTAGGCATGTATTAACTCTCATTTTTACATACAGGGAACTAGGGAACTGAGGCACAGAGAAGTCACTTCCCTGGGGTTAGAGTAAATCAGTGACACAGGAAAAACTGCAGTTAGTTCTTGCCTTTTGACCTTATGATCAATTCATTAGACCAGGCTGCCTCCAATGAAACCAAAACAAAATGTGTTTGTTTTTATCAAGAAAATGTTCACTTAGATGGCAGTAGACTTTTTCCTAAAAACCTTAGGGTCTTCTCTAAGTGAAAACCATTTCTCAAAAGACCTGTTTAAATACCAGGTTTCGGGGTGGGTTGTTCCTATTAAGCCATGCAGTGTAGAATATGAAGATTTTTAAACAAAAAAACTTCAAGACATCAGAATGTGTTAACATCTGTATCCGCCATCGCCTTAAACCACAAGGCCTGCTTTTCGCTAGTTGTTTGCTTCTTGTACTCCATTGAGAGTAAGCAGTAAACCTAGACAAGTCTGTTTAGCTCCCCCATTCTTAGGTCAAAACATTAACATAATTTAGGCTTTCCAAAAGCAATACAAATATTTAAAGTTTAATCTACAAAGTGTTGAGTTAAACCCATGACTATACATGTGATCACACCTCTATTAATATCAGAACTTAAAGAATTTTAAAAATAAACCAAAATGACGTATCTGGAATACATGTTAGCACCCTTTTAAGGCTACATCGGATCTTGCTTCTCAAACGGCAAATACCAGCATCCTTTAGGCATTAGAGACTAAACTATTCCCCAGCCATAAGCCACTCTGCAATTTAGCAATGTGACTGTCAGGGCAGTACAACCATCATACATGGGCACCATCCCATACGTCCAACAGAAGGTCAATACATTACAATGTGTTTCCAATGTAGTACGTGACTGTAGCAGCGTACAGACCCCAAGTAACAGTCTCCAGAACTGCCTAGAGAAATCTGGCTGACATCAGATTAAACTAGTATTTGTGAAGAGACTTACCAGTGTGCGTCTCAACCTCCAGCTTTTCTCCTGCTCTGGAGTTAATGCCTCGCAAATAAGGTAATTTTACCTTTACAGTGTCAAACAAATACAATTTTTTTTTCCCTTAAACCTATCCTCAGATTAAATGAATACGCTTAAGTTAGAGTCTGGATCAGAGACTCCAAAAAGTAACTTATTTGGTTATCAGCTCACAATAGGGGAAGCCAAGCAAAATGTGTAGTTTACGACTGACAGCTCAAAATAAATGCAGAGGAAAATCTATTTTTTAATTTTTTTTTTTACTGTGGATTTCTCAATAAAAATAAAATCATGCCAATTTTACGACTCCAGTAGTCTCTTAGTATCTGAAGCAGCAATAACAAAATCTTCACAGAAGTGCTTGTGGTGGAGGGTCCAGACAATACTCCTGCCTAACCAGTAATCTTAATTGTGACCCTCTTTCTCCAACGCTGTTGAACACTATAACTCACCACCAGTCTATCATTAACTCCAGATACAGGTTAAAAAAACCCAAACAAACAAAAAACACCATTAGCAAAACCTGCTTGAAATGTTTTCTCTCAGGGCTATAGAAAAATTAGCCAGATTCTTTATTCCACTTGTAGTGAAACCGCCCCCCATGGCAATGGTTACATGATCACGTTATCTCCAGTGTACTTCAAGTCCATATAAAGTCACATTTATTTAGACTTAACACACACGGTTTCCAGTGATGCTTCTGGTTTAGGCTCCTGCTTCTCTGGGAATTCTAGTTTTTCACAAATCGTCTCCTTTATGGGTAGATACTGAGAGATCTCGTTAGGTTCCGTGAACAGGGAAGGTGGAACGTGCTAAGAAGCAAAAATTTTACATGAAACAAGTGAATGAAAGGAGGAGAGAAAAAAAGGTATTCCAAACCCAAACTTTTACAAACAATTAATCTATAATTTATCTGATTTAAACACCTGAAGTCAGGTATAATTATTAAAATTTACCTTATAACTTCAAATTTATGTCTTTTACTCATTGTGTGGATCAATAGGCTAAGGAAAGGTATTTAGTGTTTTCAAGCAGCAGATCGTAAGAGCATAAGAAAGCCAGAGATGATCATGAACAGCTACAATGTTTAAAAAAAAATATGTATTTATCATTTGAATGTAACAAACACTGTTTTTGAGGGTCTAGTTCTAGATGAGATTAGGATGGCTACGCTTAATGTCTTCTAGTCGTTGCAATATATTTATTGGAATTGCTCAGATTTAGCTATTGATAATTGATATACCTCGACATTTATCTTACTTTTATTAAGTCCACCACAAACATTTATATGAACTACTAAAACTCATTGGATTTTAACTTTGTATTTGAAGAAATTAGGTGTTTTCATTAAGTTAATCAATATCTTTCTCTGGACATTCCTGTAGACAACTTAACTTCACTATATACAAGATATTTGATTAAAAATAAAAAAAAAAAAAAAGAAGAAAACTATACTGAGCAAACCACCTCCAAACTTTCTAACAATATTCTTTAAGACGCGTATCCAGAGGTAATCAAAGGCAACCTGGATTTTGGCTACCCTTAATATGCAAGGAATCATACTGCTGTTTCAATTATTTCAAACCTAAGCGAAAGAATCTTTTTCGCTTTACCCATGCAAGCTGATCTAGGAAACTGAAAAGCCTTATGCAATTCCTCTCTGTAACACCAGGCAGTAAAAATTATTTAACAGTGTAGATGATAATTTTTAAAGATGAGGTAAAGTAACCGCTAGATCACTGATCTTAAAAACCACAAAACTGTCAAAAAGCTCATGTCTGGATTTAGTCCTGTTTATAGGGATCATATATTGTTAAGAAATGACACAGTGCCCCTTTCCTCAAAAAAAAAAAAAAATCCCACCCAAAAACACTTTGCAAAAATATTTCCTCAGGTTAGTAACACATTAGTCACTTTTTACAGGGGAAGGAAAAACAAGGGAGAAGGAAAGTAACAAGAATGCCCAAGATCAGGTGTTGGGTCAAGAATAAAAATCAACTGCAACTTGAAACATTTCACAAATTATTCTGAGCCTTTACTAGAGTTTTAAGGGGGGGCTATTAAACTTATTTGAGAAAAACTGAATGAGTCTATTACCAAACAGATCTTAGGCCCTAATACTACTTGCAAGCATGCATGCATGAAATTTAGCATCATGGGACATGAACTACCTGATTTTGTGGCTGAACAGCTCTATGAAAAAATAATAATTAAAAAATCTTGTCAATTCAAAAGTAGAAAAAGTAGCCCAATCCCATATCCTGTCATGTGATCAATGGATCTGAGCATTTACAAATGCAAATCTGCCCTGAAATCTGCAAAATAGATGTTGCACAAGCAGAAAGGTTTTTCCTCTGTATAGATTCCAAACCTGACAAAGAATGACTTACAGACACAGTATTTTCTATGCTGACCATAAAATAATTTTAAAAAGCAGACAGAAAAAAAAAAAAACACATTTAAAAAATGCAATACCTTTAAACTTGATATTTTGCTTTCTCTGGATGTATATTCTCTCAACATGTAGGCCTTGTCAGCCTAATGGGAAAGAAATGGCAAAAATTGATTACAAAATTATCATCTAGTACCAGTGCAAAATAAGCATTTTAAATACATCGAATTGAGTAAGCATTTGAATTTGGTTGACCACAGATTTTCACCTGGGAGCAGAAACGTACGTTCAAATTCACGAAGACAGAGAAAGATGTTTAGCAATGTTCTCTTTCCCAAAAGTCACCTTTCTGCGTGCATGCATGGAAAAAAAAAATTCTATGACTGAATATGCTTGGTAATCTTTACTCAGCTAGAACTCCTACATCAGTATGCAAGGAACTAGACAAAAATAAGCAAAGGACGACTGTTACATTCTGTATTATTTATGAGATACTGGAACTCAATGTAGTATGGACAGTTACTTGCAAGTTAAAACTTGCCATCATTTATTAGAGAAGCCAAAAAACATTTACTTGGAGACAAGGGTAAGAACAATATCACACCATTTACTGTTGCCTATTTTTCCTCTTGGACATCCTCTCTAATCTGCATCTGTCAAATACATTTAAATGATTACTTCACGTAAGGGCTGCCTACTCTGCTTATATAATACCTAACCCCGTGGCATCCAGCACTTGGTTGCTACTTCAGCACCACCATAACAACAAAATACACTTGAAAGTGCAGTTCAGGTAACCTCTATGCCCCCAAACATCAGTATTAAATTACAGAGATATCAGCAGGTCTCCTCTGAAAGTAACATGGCAAGGGAGCATCTGTAAAATACTCATGATGGCAAATAAGGGTTTACCTCATGATGAAGCCTCGTATCATTCATCCTGATAAGTACCCCATCAACTCGCAAGAAAAACCTCAGCAGCACAAAAAAGCTGGAAGGCATGACTCGCTGTAAAAATAAAGACGTTCCATTCAGTGTATTTCAAAGTTTTACTTTAAGTATGCACTTATCTACATCAGATATTCACAACGAATGATAGTATGAGGAGCTTTTGGTGGTAAAGTCAAAATTTGGCCTGTTGATATGTTACAGCTATCATTGGACAGCAGGGTGGACAGAGTCTTAAACGATTCTTAGGCAGGATGCAGAAAGAAGGAAAAGATTGTTCCCTGAAGCAACAGACGGAAAGATTTCAAGCCAACATATTTTTCATTAAGATTATATTTCTAAGAGTGAGGATAAAGAACTCTGCATTTTAAAATTTAGAGCCCAGAAGGAACAACATGGAAAAAGTGGCTGCATTTTGCATACATTAGCCAAGTGAGTCACCAAGCATCTTGTATACACCTCTTAGTACTCACTATTTTTACACTTAAACTTGATACTCCATGGTCATGAAGTTCATCTTCAAAGAGAAGTACTTCTTCAAAAAACATAATTTGTTCCCTGGCTTTTAATTTCTCTGTATTTATGTGTTCTGTTGTAGGAACAACCTAAAGAAAAAGATTAAAGAACAGTTAGCATATTAATTGGTTGCCAAACTACACACAGTTTGTCCTGATCTTTTAAATCCCACAATTGCTAGTTTAAAGGAAAAAGCTTTTAGGACACTAAGCTTAAAACATCCCAAAACTCTAAGAAAAAAGTTAAAGTTAAAACCAAATTTTCCAAGAGGAAACATCGACCAAAGCAAAAGCCAAGAGTGGAAAATTCTGAATAAAGTGCCCTCCAGGTACAGGTTCAGTAGGGTTTCAGCCACAAACAATCCTGCTCACTTTCTGTATTTGAAAACATTTGAAGATGCCTCGTGTTTAACATACAAATGAGATGGTCTGTGTTGTAAGTAGTATTCCATCCACTTAGTATCTCTAGCCAATGACAAACCCTGCACAGGATTCTAATAAAGTCTTCCCATGCAAATCAAGTACCCGTATGTTTTCCATCTCTTTGTCTCCATATACACTCATGCACTTTGGCTGCCTAAACACTACGGGCCAACAAGGCATCATTTATTTCTGTGCCATACTTTTAATTCCAGAATAACTCAAGTGATCCATAACTAATGCAATCCTAGTGAATGAATATAGATTACCTGCTTAGTAGCAAGTGATCTGCATACAGTAAAGAGAAGCTGGGAACTCCAGTCTTATTTTAAAGTAAATAAAGACAAGAGAGGGTCTGTCAGTTTAGATATGAGGCGTTGCTGTTTCAGAAAAACATAGTCATTAAAAGCAGCCAGATCTACATATCTGTTTACACAAACTGCCAAGGAACAAAGAGTAAAGGTACTAGAGAGTTACATAGCCGATAGTTCTGTTGTGTGTGAGGAGTTTGGGGCTTCAGAGGGGCATCCAGACAGTGCTGAAGATTCTCATGTGCTTTACTCTCAGAGTAAGTCTTCACTAAGGGACACAATGGCACCCTTTTATATGATCCTAAAATGCTTTAAAAAAATAAGTTCTGAAAACAGGCCATGATTTGATTAGGGTAACATGCTGAGAGACATAGAAAGCCCAAACTATACTTTGAAGTCAGAAACTAGAAGCCTGTAAGATTTTATAGAAGCCTATAGAAAAGTAAACGACAGCTTCTAAGCTTTGTTTGACCGAAACAATATGCAATCAGCATTTAACAAGGACAAATGGTTACCTTTAATGTTGCAGTGTCTCCCAGCAAAGTTCCTTTGTAGTCTGTTGTGTAAGTCCAATCATATGGCTTGACAACTTCCTTAGTGTGCTCAGTCTCACTCCTCAAGAAATGAAAGAGAAAACAGCATGCTTTTTAGTAATTCTTAAAAAATTACAACTTCACATAAGATTATGTATTAGGATTTCCATGCTCTTTAAGAAGAAAAACAGCAGCATCGTCTGTGCTGCAATGATGATGTCAACACTTAATCATACAGTATTTCTTCTTTCACATGTTTCCATAATAAATTATAAAACCATTACCAGAATTCCTGTGCTAACACAATCTCAGTCCTATGAGTCAAAAATAATGATTTTCGTTCGATGTTGCTGAAAAATTTGTATTTCAAGATCATTTTTACTTTAAGTAGGCAGAAAGCAATCTGCTGACAACACACAGCAATCGCCAACACTGCTATTTGCCTGACTTTTCATGACAGCTTTGATTTCCCTCTGTGCTTTGTGTCTAGGTGCTCTGCAACTCATTTCATAAATATTAGGAGTACAATTAGTTCTGATGCATAGTAATTGTTCTGCTGTATTCCTAAGGCTAAGATTTTGAACATGTACAGCATTTTGCACTTTGAAACACCACAAAATACAATCTTGTAATGCTCGAGGCCCTATGAGTCTGAATAAACAGAAACAGCATTAAGCCATGTTACAGTTGTAGTTTATTTTAAGAAAGCCAAGACAGCTGAAAAATATAGCTGACCCAAGTTAACAGAGAGGATGATCACGGCAAAGAAAAGCTAAGCGCCTTCTGTGATCGCACACTGTATCTGTAGTAGAATCAAATGCAACACAGTCTTCAGGAGTTCCGTGGTTTTTTTTAACTACTTTATGACAGTTTCACACACAACACACCAGTACTTGCCCACTGGTGATAAAATACTGTACCTGCTCTCTTGCCACTCCTCTGCACAAGCCACTTTGATCATACCTTGACAGTTATTGACACATTTTAAAGCATCTGTTGCATTGAACTCAATTCCAAAACCGTGATCATGCTGAATTCTTAGGATATTGTCTCCAAACATCATTTCTGGCAGGGAAGGCATGTGCAATTCATCAGCCAACCTGCACAGAAAAATAAAAGTCCCATTAAAAGAGATCAGTCAGCTATAGCTCAGTGAAAATAGCCCTTGTTCCGGAATAAGCATCCTTTAGACCATGGCCATTTAGAAGTCAGATCATCAGTATGTTCTGCAAGACTTTGTTGTTTTCCCAGTTTAATAGTTTGACATGAATTGTGGAGTCATTGATCCAAAGTGACTTTTCCACCATAAAAGTATTTCTGAAACATTCCTTCTACATCAGGCTCATACAAAAGTCTCATATGTGAGGAATCAAAATGGTATCTGATAAGCATGAAATAGCAGCTTTCAACCTGTTGTAGCAAACCCCTGGATGGTCCATTAACTACTTTGGCAGATGCACAGAAAGAAGTTTTAGGAACAAGCACTCATTGTCAGCAATTTTAAATTCACTACACAGTAATCCATACCTCCAAATTTAGAAGCCTACAAAAAAGGGCTGAAAACAACCCTGAGAGAATATGTGAAAAAAATCAAGCGCAGACGACACTACAGTGCTCTACTACTTTCTCGAGCTGGTAAAGAATACATGCCAGTATTTGTAACCTTAAGCATGAAAGCCACAGCCATAGCCACAGCCCCAGTGGAACAAAGTACTGCCTGAACCAAATAAGTATGATCCCTGCGGAAAATCTCAAACCACCCTATTTCACTCTTTGTTTTATATCAATCTTTATACTTATTCATACATATATATATATACACATACACTATATATAAATACACATACACAAATGTAACACCACTTTATTTACACACTGACCTTATTTACCTAAAGATTTCATATACTTCTTTTCCTTGCTACCACTACCTACTTTACTTATCAAGACTAAAAAGAAATACATGATGTCTGGAGAGAAGAAAACTTTAGGAAATAGACTAAAGGGGGGAAGGGCGTCCAGGAAGTGTCCTAATCCCA